CACCCTGGGCACTGCCATCATGCTGCACTCCATGTACCCCAGGGGACTCAGGACCCTGCTGCCCCAGCCCCTGTCCCACTGCGAAGGGACACACCGCCCACGGAGAGGGCTGGCAATCACAGCCAGTGTCAGCCATTTGGTCGCTGGTCCAAGGCAGCACAGGGAAATTATTCCTGATCCCCAGCCCTGCTGGGCTGTCCTGTCCCTGTCCTGGACCACAGGACTCCCCATTTCCATATGTTTTTCTGCAGGGAAAGTGCCTGATGCCAGGTTCGTGCTGGCAAGACCTCCAGATTTCAGAACATCTTGTTTCTTTTTCTGACCCAGATGGCTGAGCTGCTTCTATAACCATTTTATCTAAGAACAGGCTTTTGAGCAGTAACATCTGTTTCCTCAATATATATGTAAATTTTTAAAAATAACAACAGCAGTGGAGAAAAGAGAAGCCCGTACCACCGAGTAAGCAAAGAGTACTTTTGCTTAACTCTCACAGGGACACAGCCTTGTAACACCAGCCTGGTGACAGGTCCTGCCTGCCTGCCTTGTCCACTGCCCACAGCTTGGCCAAGCCATGTAGATCACCATCAGAGACTTATCACTTCTGTGAAAGAGAAAAGGAGACAGGTTGGATTACCCCAGCTTCAAGTGTGGCACCCTGTGCTGCTGTACCCTTCTGTACCAGGACAGCTGACAGCATTGTGTACCAGCATCCCCAGGTGTACAACCCCTACCCCAAAATTCAGTGCTGATGTCTCCGAAAGGGCTCAACAAAGTGCACTGCTGCACAGCGAGGAAAACACAACAACCAGACAAGACCTTAACCAAAAAGCTAGGGTTTCCAAAAGGCCTGTGAACACCTCTTTTGTGCTGAGATGGAAGCCTGCAGGGCAGCTTAGCTCTGCTCTAGAGCAAGAAGTGGCATCTTTTCCACAACAGCCAGCTGAGTCATGGGGCTTTGAATCGCCTCTTAGATACACAGGGTTTTCTCTGTAAATTGTTGTTTTACTTTTCTTTTCCTATTTTTCAATATAATCAGAAACTCACTTCATGAGGTGTCTCATGGCAGCCCCCAACTATTTTAGAATAAATATTTTCATTAAACAAGTGGATTTTGGTATTAGGAAGTCAGCATCTTGAAAGGGCTTTTGTCAAAAGCTGGTGGAGGACCTGGTAGACTGTTCAAACATGGGAGGAATTTCTGCCTTCATAGTGAGTCCTTTGACTTTTAGAAAAATATTATTGTTTGAGTTTTCAGTAAATTGGAAGCAAAAGGACAACATAGCTCAAAATTTAAAAAAATAAAAATATACACAATTATGTCATGACAGGCTTCAGATTTTCCTCTCAGCCCATGAGTCTGCTTTTGCTATGGAATATTCCTTATAAAAGAGTAAATAAATGCACTGTAAACAACCCTGGGGGATGTAGTAACATCATCAGCCTCAAGAGTAGATGCAAAACTCAGAGAGTGTGTGTCCTGAGCCCTCAGAGCCCTCATACACTCACTGAATTGAGGAGTATGGTACAGATGGTGGAATGTGGTGGAAATGTCCATGCCATGATGATCATCACAGATATGGTGGTACTGACTGACTCCTGCTGTTCTCTAATGCCAGCCTGAGCATTAGAGTCCCACTGAGTGGGAAGGGCTGTAAACAGCAGATTCTTCATGGAAGCAATCCTTAGGCGAGTTGTGACTCTAACATATTTTGATCTTTGCCCCTTCCCCTCCTGTAGCTCTAAAGACTATTACCATGTCCATTTTGAATATTGCCTCCAAGATACTATTAGCCTTTGTGAAGAACAGCTGTCCTCCCTGTTAAAGACCTTCTCTGCCCAAGGCAGGGTATGCACCAGAATTAGTAAGTGGCTTTGCATAAGTGACTGGATAAAAACAGTCATTGAAAGGAGAGTGAGGAATTTCATGGGCTTTGGTAACTGTGTATTTGGTTCAGAGTTGTACCAGGTACCTTAGACCGAAAGGACTCCCAGTGCCTGGTGTCACTAGCAGGTTCTTCTGGAAGTCACCAGTGAGCTTCTTAGAGAAACAGAAGTTTTTTTGCTCATATCTAGGCCATAAATTGAATGTATTCAGAGCTCAGGGATAATCTTGCTGATGAGCTACAAATAGTAAACAACTGACAAGTGAGTATTTGTCTTTTTTGAACTGAGTTGCATATTCTGCATGCTGAGATGTGCAGAAGTGTTGATGAGCTAGTAGGCGTTGGAAAATATCCATTTGTGTTAGAGTCAACTATGCATGTAATCTGGCCCAGGGAACAGAAGATTTAGGTGAGGAAATTAAACTCCAGTCCTCCCTTTTTTTTTTTGGAATAAAAGAAATCCTTTTTTCCTAGTATTTCTGAGGGTAGCTCATTTTTTTTACTACTTGACTAGACATCCATCACAGGTGGCTTTCCTTGAGTTAGTTTATATGAGATCAAAGAGAAACCACAAGGAAACTGAGCAAAAACTTCAGAGCAAATTACTTCAGCAATTTTTCCCCTTCACAGAGGAGAGGGTCACCTCTTTATTTGGTTAAACATTTTGGTGAGGCCTTTGCTTTGCTCTCTGGGCCAAGAAGAGCTTGGTCGCTCAGCAAGTCATTGCATTTCCCTGGTCTGCAGAAGAAACTAAATGAGTGGATCGTTTCCCTGACTGCCAGTGGCAAAACATCTCTGCAGGAGTGTGAAGGTCAGCAAATCTCACCTCTTAGGACAAGAGTGGTGGGTATTGAGGCTGCAAGTGTGGGGACGGCCAGACTTCAAGTGTGAAGACATGAACCACCTTTGAAAGGTGGCAGTCCTTTCCTCCCCCTTCCCTTTGTCACTACCTCAGAACACGGCCATCCAACCCAACACCCCACACCCTCAGAAAATGAGAAAGAGATTAATTCCAGGTCTCCCACTTTTGGGGCAAAAATCATAAATCCTCAGTGCTATGCAAGTGTTGGGCAGTTCCTCCTCTGGATGTCTTCTTGGAGCTAAGGCTGCAATAGGAGTCATTTGGCACTTAGCCCTCGGAGGTGACTACAGAGTGAGGTTTCCATGGCATGGGGCTTGCACCCTGACTTGGGAGACAGGGTATTGCATTAGGCTATAGGAAGCTGCACGCTTGCCTCTCTGGCCCTAGGCAATTAATGTATAGCTCAGTTCATAACTAATTCCAAATCAGTGTTGATGACTTTACCATTATCCTGTCCTAAAGAGATATTTTTAAATAGCTTTCAACTGCCTGAATATGTCCAGGACACTTGGACATATGGAGAGTTGTTTTACCTGTGTTTCATGGTAGTTTGAACGGACCCATCACATTAGGCTTAGTATAGGTAAAATACTAAGAAAGAAAATATTTCTCCTACTTTAAAAAAAAAAAAAAAAGAAAGAAAAGCAAATCTTCATTTTGAAGACATCCTTTAGCAACAGCTGGATTGCTGACTTCTTGTACTGAGAGAGCATTTATGCTGTTCAGAAGACTGTTCTTTTGGTGAGGAAATACATTTTAGCAGCTTGCCAAACGGGAATCTGATAGAAGAATAATATTTCACTCCTACCCTCAGCTGCTCTTTACAGTAACGAGATGGTGATTAAGGGTCTGTTTCTTTACCAGCAAGGCTCACAGTCAGTAGCATCCCTTCCCTGGACATATGCTAGATAGCTGTGCTCAGATCTATGGTCCAGCTGCTTGGGACCATCCGAGAAGGTTTCCTATATTCCTCTGGCCTCTTCCCTCTCTTGTCTGGGCAAGTCCCGTTCCTGAAAATAAGACCCAGCAACTCATTTGCCAAGGCCAGTCCTAAATTCCCCACAGCTGGGACTCCCAACTTCCCTTTCCTCTCTGAGTACCTAACACTTTAACCTTCACCAGCACATGATGTCACTAAACCAATCATTCTTTATGAAAGCAAAGAAATGTATAACAAGACCGTAGTACACAGCTCTCTTTCCCTGTTTCCTCTAGGTGTCTTGGTGGATTTAAGTCAGAGTCCTCTGCAGCATATAGAACACTTCTTTTTCCTCAAAACTAGTTTTCAAGACTTTGTCTTTCTCTTTAAAATGGCTGGTGGGAAGTCCTTTTCTTTTAGAAGTGTTCAGTCATTTCCATTTCTCCCACCTTCAGATGAACCTTCCTGGTCTACTGAAATGCCAGTACTTCATCGGATACTTGACTATTTTGGTTAATACCTAACTAGAATCTGAATTTGAAAGATGATGTGGGGGGTTTTCTTGGGGAACTGGGGGGATAACTTGTGAAATAACCAGTTCTTCATTCAAGGGTGCCTCCATTTTATAGGACAATTAATGTATAAGAATAATATATGTTCAACCTCACACATGCATCCCAGCATCTGGATTTTTCAGCTCCATCTGGCATCCAGTAGAAGAACAGAGCCTCATAAATTCAGGTCAGAAAGCAAAATAACTTTTATACATTTATGACAGCCATCTAGAGAGGTGTATATTCTACTTGTGACCACAAGTGCGTAAATACACAGGTCTCCCCAAGCAGCCATAAAGAGCACTGTTGTTTTGATTAAGAAATTGTGAGCATCTACACAGGTTAAAAGAGAAAATGAAACCTGGGAGGTTAGTTTTGTAGCAGTAACCTTTCAAACCTGCCAAGGGTGATCAACAAGTCTGATTGGTACTGCCAACACATGACACCAATCCTGGAAGGATTTCTCTTTGTCTGCAGCCTATGTAGTCCCACAGCTGTACGTTACGTTCCCAAGAAAGAGGCATATGTGCCAAAACACATACAGGATCGGGGCCTACACTTTGGTAATCCTATGCTGTTTCTCACACATGTTTCTGTTGCTTGAGGTGCTCACTAGGTTGTTTTCTTTCTGGAATGAAAAGTTCCAGTAGTGTTTGGTTTTGTTACCCTCATTCCCTCCTTTCCCTGCTCTGGCAGGAAAGCGCCAGCAGCTCTGCCTCATAGGTTGGCAGGAAATTTAAAACAGCAGCAAGCTGCTGCACGGACCACCCCCAGACTTTTTTTTTTTTCCCCGTTGATGCAGGAGACTATTTAATTGGGGGCTGACTTGTCAAACTTACTCACTGACGCTTACCAGGAGCTGCTTAACCGGTAACAGTGATATTTTTTTTTCTCCCTGCCTTCTCCTGTGGACAAGTTCCCCACAATGAAGACTCTTCTGAGCCTGATGGTTTTGCTCTCCGCCACCCTGTTCGCCAACGCGGCCCCTCCAACTTGCTACTCCAGGGTTTTGTCCCTGAGCAAAGAAATCACGGAGTCTTTTAAGGAGTTACAGACCTCCAAAGCTGCGGTGAGTATACCTAAAAACTGCTCCTGCAAAGACGCTGTGGGTTGCTTGCTTCTGACACACGTTTCTCTCAAATCAAAACTGCAATGGGTCTTTCCTCTTTCCTGCAGGACTCGTGTGTGGAGACACTGCCCAGGCTGTACTTGGACATCCATGTAAGTTTTCACGCTTCTTTCTTACCTCTGAGCAGTAAAAGCAGCTAATGAAAATAGAGGATAACTCTTAAGATTGTACCCCAGAAGAGTGGTTAATTCAGAAGAGCTTAATTAACTAGAGAGATGAGTGACAAAAAAAAAAAAAAGTCATTTTGATCCTTATTAAAATCCCAATGGAGCTTCTGAGATTTTATTTCTTTAAAAATTAAAAAATGAGGAAATCAATATTTTGAAGTCATTACCATGTGTACATTATTAATTTATTGTGACAGAGCCTTTTCAGACCTTAAATATGTGCAACAAAACTTTAAATAATAGTTTAAAAGAAGAAATGTAGAATAAACTTTCCTCACTTAATGCATCTACTTCATTTTATATCATAAGTGGCTTCTGGCACTGCGGTTTTAATCAAAAGAAGTGTAGAAAAACCGCGCTGGCTTTTCCTGTTTTAAAAAGCCACTTGTTGAATTCAGAAAGAAAAAGTATACCTGAGGATATGGAAGTGTGATACTGAGAAAAGGCAGCAATAGTCATCTCCCAGCAAAGACAAAATAGCCTCCTGCACACATAGTTCATATCACAGTGTTCTGCCCTGGGATATCTGACATATTTTGCTTATTTTCCCAGTGCTTCACTTAGGAACTAAAAAGTAGAATGTAACAGACAAAGCAAGAGATGTCTGACACCATCAAGTCTTGCAAGTCAGGACCCTACAGATCCCAATTCCAAAGTTGCCAGTGCCTCACTTCATTGCAAAGACCAAGCAATGTGCGTCCACTGCCTCAGTTTCCCTTGCTTTAAAGCAAGAGCTGGGATATTTATTTTCCTGCTTCACAGGGACTTTGTGAAATTCATGCTGGCTGTGCTTTGTTCTGATAATGCAAAGCCAGAGGTAAAAATTACTCTGAAAATAACTTTAACTAGTGCTCACAGTATTGCCTATTGTACAGGAACAGAAGAATCATGTCTGTGAGATCTTGTTTATCTGTTGGCCAGGTAAATAGATGCTCTCTTAAAAGGGAGACAGTGCACCTATTCTATAGGCAACTCTACCACTACAGGAGCAGATTTGATTGTATTGGCGCTGCTATCTCCTAAAGCATGTGGGAAGGAAGCTGGCAGACCAAAACTATGCACTTTTCTGAGTACTTATTTGGACCAAATGTCTTTGTTATGAAATACTGATGGTGAATTTTCCTAACTAAAGGATACACAGATTGCCTATACCTAGAGGTAGGAATTCAAGGTTCCCACAGAGGCAATAAGAATTTTGTAAGTGGTGAACGAGAAACATAAATCTTTGTTTGTGCAAGGTTACACATACCTCTTTTGCATGCTTTGCAGAATTACTGTGTGTTGGCAAAACTCCGTGATTTTGTGGCCTACCCCAGATGTGAGAGAGTGCTTGAAGTGAGTGAGCTGAAGGAAAAAGCCCGGAGCCTGTACACCATCATGATCTCCTACTGCAGAAGGGTAGGTTGAGCTGCACCAACAAGGGCTTAGTCTCTGCTTTTAGCCCTCTTTGTCTCCACCCTGTCCCCTGACCAGCAAAACAGGATCAGGGCCTGAGCTTCCCAACATTGTGGTATCTCCTGCCTTTCCCGTTAAAAATGTTAGCCTTCTCTTTTGTTTCTCCAGGACTTGGTGTTTCTCACTGATGACTGCAGTGCTCTGGAAAATCCTGTTATGCCTCCCATTGAGCCCTCCATCATTGAGAGCTAAAATGGAGTCAGCCCAAAAGTTGTACCTGGGAAATTTTCAAGGAGATGGAGAGTCAAAATATGTATACGTGGTCAACTACAACTTTAACAACTAAGATCCTTCCCATGCACACTAGCAATATTATCTCAGACCTACCCATTTTTCTCCCCCTTGGCAGGAAATGAACTGCATGCCTTGCATACCTACTGAGCTGCTAGGGAAACTACACTTAGAGAGCATTTTTTTATTTGGCAAGGTATGATATTTCAGCTTAGCCAGATGTATAAAGTATGTTTTGTTTAAACATTAGATACTATACACTATTTTTTACTCTTTTATGAATAACTCAATTCATAGAAAGAAATACATTGTGATAAATATTCTATCCTGACTTAGCAGTTCTTCCTTTATTAGATGGGCATGGAAGGGACCATATTTGTTTGATAGGAGAAGTGTAACTCTGTACTGCCAGATGTGTCTCTACCTGGATAGCTCATATATATATGCTGGTAGTTTTTGATGTCAGACTTGTAAGAATAGAGGTGAAATAACCTGTCTCTGTGGAAAACTTAATAAAAACAGCCTTCTAACCCAAGATGCTTGTGTTACATCATGTCTTTCAAGATCAACCCAAAAGGTGTCATTCTTATAAACTTACTTTTCACAGTTACTTGCAAGTTGTTTTTCACAGCATAAGCCATCTTTAGCTTTGTTTCCATAGCAATGCAAACTTTGCTGTGTCTGCACGATTTGGCAATGTGTAAGTTTCTACTGGGAGAATTTTTCCATACTGCAAAAAATTTCTTTGACGAAATTAGTGTGTTATTTGTTGCTTTTTTTTAAATACGGTTTCTGTGTTGCAAGAATATAAGTTGTGATACAACGGCTCAAAAAGCCAATCAAAGATTTGGACAGATTGTTAAGACACAGCCCATATACTGAGCTACTGAGATTAATAAAATTGCCAGATAATAGTTCCAGAGTAATGCATCCACCCGGTGTCTGAAGAACATGACACCTTCACACCCAGCAGCTCTTTGGTGCCAAGAATAGAAAGAATTTTCCCCATATTCTTGGAAGTAGCTGGTATTACCCCAGAGGGTCCCTTCCTTCCCTCTGTGCAAGTGGTTCCTCTCTCTCCTGTATAGTGTTTACTGGTCGTTCATCTTCAGCATTGCCAACCCTGGTGGTCTCACCATGTTTTATAAAAGCCCCATCTTCTGTAATCATTGAATTATGTGACAATCACAGCTCCTCTATCATCCTGTCATCCCAGTGAATATCTCACGGTGTAAACCAAAATGATTGACAACTGTTATGGAAATAGGTGAATCATAACATTCATCCAAGGGAAAAAAATTGTTCAGGGGGAAAAAAGGGTTTTTCTTTATTTTGGAATCACCTTGTTCTGTAGAAACTACTCATCTGACTTTAGCTGTAGAAAATTTGACCATCCCATTGAACCACAGAACAAGGGTGGGAAACTCTGAATCCGAGGGAGATACAGAGGAATTTATTTTGGAATCACCTTGTTCTGTAGAAACTACTCATCTGACTTTAGCTGTAGAAAATTTGACCATCCCCCCATTGAACCACAGAACAAGGGTGGGAAACTCTGAATCCGGGGGAGATACAGAGGGAAGAGAGTAAACAAGCGCTTTCTTTCCAGTTTGTTTCAGTTCTAAGTCTACATTCAAGCAACGTGCCTGTCAGACCTTGTAATCCTCTCCTGAAGATGAGGTCCTCATGTGCTAACCCTACTAATCTGCTAGATGAGCCAAGTTGCCCACAGGCAGGATCCTGTGAAGAATTCCACAGAAGGATTCTATTCCTGTGTCTCTATGGGCATCTGGTAGAGACAGTAGCAGCTCAGCAATCTGATCCAGTACCAGGCTGAATCCCAAAACATGCAGCTCAGATAGTCCAACTATCAGAAAAATCATTGCCTAGTTTGTCTTTTAGGATCCTTCTCCTCTTCAATACAGTAACCTCTGTACAAGATCTGACACAACCTAGAGATACCAATACCATTTTTTTTCTGCATCACCTGGACATAACCAAGGCCAACTCCTTCAGCAGGAGCCATATCCTGGAAGAAAGCCACCTATTAGCATGCTGGCAGGGAGCCTGGTACCCACACAGGGAGTGTGTAAGCACTGGCAACCGCCTGGATCAAGGAGAAATGCAGGTGAAGTTGAACATTTCTGTCAGACTCTGCATCCAAGATTTCCTCCCTCTAACCAGGGGCTCAGCCACTGCCTGGGGAAGCAAGCAGTGCTGGGATAACATCAAGGACTATACACTTCCATACAAGTACCAAAACCACATCACAACCCCTGCTTTTCATACTTTTATACAAAGACAGCCATGGACATACCTTGCAAAAACATGTGGTACTGTCACCACCGGCCACGGTGTTTGCAGAGCTGGTGGTACACATGCTTGGAAGCTGGCAGCAGAAGCTGTTAAATTTTGGTTGTTTTTTCCACCTCCAGATGTCACGGGGTTTAAACACAGGCCTGCTGTAAAGCTTGCATTGTGACTTGGCAAGCCAACTGCAGAGCAAGACACGCTTCCTTTCCCACAGAAGCCCGTGCAGCTGTGTCCCTAGAACTGGACTTTGGGTAAAGTCCGTGCAGGTAATCGTGGCACTTCTGCCCCTGTTCTTTTATGTCATATGGACACATACTTTCTGAAATTGAGTATTTTATGAGGGTTTTCTCATGGATCTTCTCATAACTCCTCTTTATCCTGCTTTATTGAACTAAGCCAGCCTTCCCTAGTCCATTTTGATGGAACTTGTGGTCCTAACTCCGTATTTCTCCCATAACGTTCCCATTCATTCAACGACTGTCCACATATATATTTTCTCCTGCTTTAGGCTGACTACATTTGCAAGGAAAATGTAGTCTAATTTCTTTAGGAAAAAATATCTTGCAAGAAGTTTTTGGAATTGGAAACAGAGTAGAAATCATTACTTGATTTGCACTGTTTTCATTAGTAACTTCAGCCTTTTCATGACTGAAAGGACATGTTCTGTCCACAATGGTTACTTACCAACAGCTCAGTCCTGTGCTATTACATCCTACTTCTACAGAAGCTGAGAAAAGCAACTGATGCTTTGGAGACTGCACATACTTGAATGAACTTTAAAAGCCGATCCTCCGTTTGCAGATGCTGCATACTTTATTCCCAGCATCAGATTTGTCTGATCCTCGGTGTGCTTTTACACCAAGTATATTCCCTGTGGTTTATGCTGTGACCGTCTTCACATCGCGTACGTCATTTTTAATGGAAAGTATGCTGAAAGCAAAGCTATGCTCTTTCAGTTCACAGTAACCTGCTGTCACTCAGACTGTCTTAATGAGATTTGTGATTAGCTGAACCCTTTTCACGAACAGCATCTTTTTCCAGGTTGTCACGGTCCAGGGAAAAAAAAATACTGATAAAGAGATCTAATCCACTTGTAATTTGCCAAGAAATCATCCACTTCTCCCTTTCAGTAAGACAGTAAATTTACCAACTTCTTATTTTACCATTATACTAGGTATATAAGGAGCAGTGGAGCCATTCATGCAGATGAGCATTTATTCCTGCAACACAGCAGCCCATGCTCATTAGGGACCCGGCCAACAGGGAGACCGTGAAGGGATTAAGAAGGACATATTTGTTGTAATTTGTCAACTGGCATCTTGCCCAGTTATTGCAGAATATTACTAAAAACACATCATTAAGAAACTGCACTCCGTATGATCATTAGGGAAGAATTGTAGAAACACAAAGCATTTGTTCTGTTCTCTTGCCTGTGGAAAGAGGTTTGTCGGAAGAAACAGTCATTCCTAGGACTAGGTTTTCTTTTGCAGATTTCTCTTTATCTACAAGAAGCCTCACTAAAGAACAGCCCTGGGACAGCTAGACTGTCTCTCATATTATCATGTGGAATCATGTGGTAGTCAAAATGGTAGGTCTTGGGGACTGCCTCTGCAAAATTTTTCAAAGACATCAATTTCCAATTTTACCAAAAAGTTACATTATGAATTTTTCTAGAACTGTCTCCTTTCCCATATCTTTTTTTCCAGTCTCAGTCACATGGGCTTTCTTTAAAAAGGCATTCTGGTAGTGAAACCAGGCTAGGGATGAGGGCTAGCAAATGTCTAATTCCCAGCCACTACCCTGGTCAGAAAAGATGGCAGCCTTCAAACAGATAATTAGATCATTCCAAGAGACATGCTTCCACTGGATAACATGTGACTTGCTACTAAATAATAGGGTACAAATTAAATATGGCCTTATGAAATTGTTTGGGGGTTTTCTGGTTTGGGTGGGTGTTTTTTTATAAGCAAAGCAAAAACAGTAATCTGGCATTGGGAAGGAATCTGAACTTTTAGGTTGTACACTTTGGAGCAGAGCTGTGAGTTGAGCTAATGGGATGCTGACGGAGACTTTCCAAAACTTTGCTACAGTGCTAACGTCTTGTAAATAATGTTACCTTACAAACATTTAACTGCTGTAGTTTAACCAGAACATTTTTCCACATTAAAATCTTTTCATTTTTGGAGTGCATGGCAATGCAAGTGAAAATTACAATGGACAAGCTCCACCAACTTTATTTGTGCAAGTTTTGGGATTCACATTTTCCTTTTAGACTTGCTATAGCCAGGAACCCTGTACCACCCAAGATTTTACTGTTAGTCTGCCAGAGTAAAAAAAAAAAAAAAAACACATTCTGCAAGGGAGCTGTTGGTAGCTAAATCAAAATTCAGTGACAATGTCCAGAGAAAGGCCATGATTCCATTATCAAACCATTTTTTTTGTCTATGTTTCCTCATCAAAGGGTAAAGGTATATCCTCAGATAAGTAATATAGCAATGAACAGAAAACCAATTAAAAGATCTATCTTTTAAAGGCAGATAAATACATACATATATATACACTGAAATCTTGTTTCATGTTTACAGGTCCATAAAGAGGATGTGTTCAGACAGATAAGAGGATTTTGAAGCCAAACAAATGCAGGGGGGAAGAAAAACCTCTCCAAAGGTGTTTTACAATAGATTGAAATATATTGACATTACTTCATTAATATTCAAACCTTGCAGAAGAAAAAAAGCCAAAGTCATAGAACAAGAAAGAAGCTTGAGGCCTTCTAATGCATCCCTTGAGCCCAAGGCTAGCCTGACTATCCAAGGTCATTTCTGGTAGAAGTGTGCCTGAAAGATTTTAAGAAAAAGTTTGTGCTATAAAGACTGCAGCAGTTCAAATCAATCCATTCCAGATCCTCCTTTTGTTACAAAGTTTTGTCTGGTACTCAATTTGCCCTCTCAAAATTTAAGCCCATTCCTTCCTGCTTTATTCAACACAGAAATGGGGATTGGATTGTTCTTTTTTTGTCTTTGCAGAACACATTTGAAGACTTTTGTCTCTCTCTCCCTATTCTCCAAATCCAATTCTTTCAATCTTTCTTCATTGATCAGAGGTCTAGAAAACATGACCCTTCTTGTTGCCTTTCTTTCAGCTTTATCCACTTGTTTCCCATCCTTTTTGAAGCACAGTACTCAAAGTTAAATATAGACCTCCAGTTGAGGCTTTATCAAT